TGCCGTGTCCCCCCAGCTCACCCACTTAAGTATTTGCACAAAATTACCCTTTGTCTTAAAAGTTCCCCGGTTTGGTATTTCAGCAGAAGGCAGATCCCAGGTGATCTCCAACTGCCCATCACCTCTCCCCTCTCTCCCAGAAAGGGTAGCTGCCAAGTGAAACGTGTCAAGATACACAAAGGAAAAGTCAAGATAGTAACTTCCAACAGCTAGGCAATGCCTCCTGGAACAGAACGCTCTGGTTATCAGTATACTCCCAACTGAAGTCACTTTAACCCCACACAACAGGAGTGTACTGGGTAATATACAGGTCAGAAGGCCAGGATGGCTGTGAAGTGTTACAGGTAAGACACCTGCAAGTTACAATTCTGTGATTTCTAACACTTTGGGGAGGGGATGGGAGAAATATGGTAGCCCTGTGCGCGTAACAGAAGAGGTTCTCGATTCATACTTCCACGTGAGACCAGAAAGTCCCAAGCCAACACAGCAACTCTAACAGCTAGCCAAAGAACAGGTTTCTAAATCTCAGCCTGGGGGCATCTTCATTAACTTGACTGGTAAATTGGGTTAGAATTACAATCTCAATTCACTTCCACGTGAGACCAGAAAGTCCCAAGCCAACACAGCAACTCTAACAGCTAGCCAAAGAACAGGTTTCTAAATCTCAGCCTGGGGGCATCTTCATTAACTTGACTGGTAAATTGGGTTAGAATTACAAAGTTCTTCTTCCTTTTCCCAGAAGAAAATGTTAAGTCTTTTATATGGAAATTTCTTTGTACATATGTATAAACTTGGTATGGCCTTAATGCTGCAGTTAAGGATTTGTCTGGCTATCACCTTAAGCAGCGTGTTAAGCAATCGCTTCCTTAATGTAATATTTTTACTTCTTCCAGGACACTCGACCTTGAACAACCAATTTCCTTTGCCCTACTTACTATTCCTTGTTGCATGAAGTCATAAAAGTTATAGCAGTTATTTTTTGGCTTGTAAAAAACCCTATTTCTGCCGTTTGAAGATGGAATGTAAAATTTCTGATACATGTATATAAAAGTATATTTACTGAACCATCCACACACCCATATCCATGCACATTCCAATGGAGAAAATTAAAATTTTCTGAAATTTTCTGTGGTTAACTCATTCCTATTTTAGCCTTCTATGTGAGAGCATCCTACGTATAACCTGAAAGTGTCTCAACTTAGACCTTAAGTTTTTATGTTGAGAAATGAGAATTCACTTGTTCATTCAAGAAATATTTATTGGCAGGTGCTACGGGGGATAACAAAGGCGACACACACAGACCCTACCCATAAAGAGCTTACAGTCTACTGGGGGAGATAACACACACAGGTGGGCTACGCGATCGGGGGTACGTTTTCAGTGAGATGAATCTAACAATGTAGAGAATAAGCTGGAATAAGAGGTACTGTGAAGCCGAGGTGGTGTTCAAATTGGGTAAGGAGAAAAGAAGTGAAAGCTTGTTGAGGTAAAGTGACAAGACAACTGGAAACTGGGCGCAGAGAGTGACAGAAGGGAAGCAGACAGCACTGTTGCATGGGTGACATTAGGAACCGAAAGAGCAGTGGGAGCAACAAGCTTATGAAAATCACTCTGCAGAAAAGCAAAGTGCTCAGGGCAGGCTAGGGCCAACATCCAACACAAAGAAACGGCTTATAACCCGGCCAAGGGTGGAGAGCTGAAGAACAGCCAGTGACTTTGTCCCCTTGTGGCCCACTTCCTACAATTTCCCAGATTTCCTCTCCTGAAATGTCACAGTGCCTCTAAAATGTACTGAATTCAAAACCTTCTCCAGGAATACTTCCCGTGAGAGAATAAAAACAGAAAATGCCCTTATTCAAACTCAGCTCCCATTTAGGGACTCCAGGATAAGTAATCGTATATTCTGGTAAATACAGGGCCTAACCCCCAGGTCCTTGTTCTCCAGGAACTTACAGTCTAACAACAAAGCAGTGAAACAGAGAATGTAACTCTACCTCTAAGCGGTAAGAGGGGTATAAAGGGCTCTGGGAACACACCGCTTAAATTATGAAAGTCAGGACAGAACTCCCACCAGGAGGGACAAGATGCAAGTAGGTAAGAATGAATTTGCTCATTTCCAATTCTGGACACATTAGTCCCCAGAAGGGATCCCCTACTCCTGTTGCAAATCTTAAGGTAAAAACAGCTCTTGAACTCGATCTTTTAAAAAATTACTTGGATGATGAAGAGAATGGGAAACAGGGTATAGACACAAGTTTATCTTCAGGGAAGAGAAGGCACTTGAATCCATGGACTCGGCGAGGGCAGCCTTACTGAGGGACCACCAGTGGTTGAGCGTGCTGCAGCATCATTTCCATGAAGATCAAAAGAAATACCTGGAAAGGAATACTAGGACCTGGTTACACACATGGCGTTGCCAGGCACTAAAAAAGGTGCACGTCTAAGACCAAATTGCTGCCCCGTAGGAGCTTACAGTTACAACGAGGTGGAAAAGCACCACAATGTACAGAATACAAAATGCTGCAGGATTCAGAAGATTACAGCTGAGTTTCAGCTATTAAACATCAGGATACCCGATAGCCTTCTGAGAGCTGGTAGTAAACCCATCTCTGAGGGGAGCGCAAGTTAATGTCCTTAGACAACAAGCTCTGATAGAGCCGGGCATTAAGACAGTTCTAAGAAAAGAGAAAACCTAAAACCTGGGTACGAAAACAGAATCAGAGGGCCAGGGTTTTAGTTCAGTGGCACTGTGCATGCCTTGCAAGCGCAAGGTCCTGAGTTTCATCCCTGGTAGCAAAAATAAGAAAGAATTAAGAAAATAAACTGAATAAACACTAAAGTGTGATGCCTTCCCTCCTCTCCCTGACATCCTAATCTGTAGCAGCTCTGACCTTCTCCGGGGAACCTAGCCTGCTGGTCCCTGAAGATTTTCCAAATATCTTCTACGCAAAGTTCTGGGACTTTGGGCTATTCATTTAGCTCCTGTAAAATGAAGGTGTTACACAAACCACTTCTTAATGCCTTCCAGCATTAACAATCTATGACTGAAAAATTTGAGGAGTCTCCCATCCACTGTGGTAATCAGAAAGGAAGGAAAACTTTAAGTAATATTCTGATTTTTCTCAAAAATATAATTTTTCCATATAAATCACAAACTCCTATTATCTCAGCTAAATTCCACCTCCACCCCCAGTCCTTTAAAATGAAACATTTACCTATATATGAATTTACTTTTGAAATTTTCTATAGCTACTCAAATTAATGTGCACCAAAGGTTAAAGGGAAAAAACAAGATGTCTCCTCACGTCCTTGATTCTTAGACATAATGTCGCCACTGAAAAGGACAAAATCAAGTGTATATGCAATCTTCGTAACAAAAATTTAAAATGTAAACAAATCCAAAAGTCAAACAGATGACAACAAAGCTTGGACAGAACCAGTAATTACAGCATTAGCATTATAGTTAAAATTGTTTCTATCCTTGTTAAACATGGTATGATCATCCTTGCAATTACTACCAAAAATATAGGCAAATGCCTCACAGGTGGCGCTGTTTTAAAATACAAAACATTTATTGGTACATTTTAGCATACATAATTACACTCATCGTAGGGAATATGCACCTGTACATTACGTGGCTTCCTGAAAATTCCTCATTTAAGTATTCTAATCATGAATGTTTGGCAAACATTTTTAATTGACTTTAGAGGGGGAAAGCCCCTAAGTCACACTATAGCATATCCCTTACAAGTCTGGGACATATTTCAAAGTATTAAACATGTATAGGTTTCTGTAGCTGGCCAAATCACATGGTTTAAAAGGAGTTTCATTGGAACTGTTTCCCAGTATATTCTTACTCACGGGGACCTTAACAAGCTACTAAATTCAAGCCAGAAAGTGGACAGAAAAAAAAAGACTGTCCAAAGTCTTCAAAACAAGCCATATTAATCCTGCAACACGAACCTCAATTCTATCAAAACTGAAACCAAATAAGGGGGTTTAGGTGACTTCTAGTCAAGTCTACGCACCCAGGCCATGCTCTGTGGCTACTACAGGAAACCATAAGCATCACCCTGAGCTACATATCCACTAAGAATAGCAGTAGAAACGTTTCTCCCTGCCACGTGCTGCCAATTCTCCTTTATTATCATCACCAAGAGTTCACAACCTACCCACGGTCCCCCAACCTCAACAGCCTAGTGAACAAATATAAACCTCAAAAGCATTTTTTTTTTTTTTGGTACCAGTGATCGAACTCGGGTCCTTGCACTTGCAAGGCAGGCAGCGGAACCACTGAGCTAAATCCCCAGCCGCCCAAAAGCATTTTTTGAAGAAACAGAACTCTTCAACTTAGTTGTCATCTAATGTCACATGGCCATTGGTGAACCAGCAGCTCTCACCTACCAAAATCCCACACAAGACAGTGCCTAAACGTTTCTAAAACACCGTGGAAAGCTCCCTGTCCACTGCCTACTTTTGGTACATTTGGCAGTCAGCTAAAACCCAATATTCAAATAAATACTGACATTCCTTCTTTACAAGGTTAAAAACTGCTAACTAAAAAAGTCAACAATTATCTCATCTGCATGCAACTCTGCAGAGATTCTTTTAAATAGCACAACAAAGAAACAGATCAGTAGAAACATAAATGAAACTATTTACTTAAAGAACTAATGCACTCGGCATAAATCACTGTCTACAAACAAATCTAAACCACAGATATTCTATTCTAACTGCTTGCTATAAAGTGCAAAACCTTCCACTAAAGCACTGATTTCTACAAGGGTTTTTCCAGTAAGAAAGTCTGTACAGAAAAGTATCAGGAAATGGTTGTTATTAAGTATAAAACACAAGTTTAAACTCACCTGAATTATGTTATAATAAAAATACCACAGGACCGAGGATTTAGCTCAGTTGTTCTGACACCTGCCTTTCAAGTGCCAAGTCTCGAGTTTGATCCCCGGTGCCAAAAATAAAAATAAAAAGACCATAATCACCCACACCCAAATTTTAAAATCTGTACTAAATGTAAATCAGAAGAAAACAATTTCAAGAACAAATCACTGTTATCACACAGGTTTTACAAACATCAAAAGAGACCTAGTGATATTCAATCTTACTTGCTCTCAAGAAAAGAATAGCAATGCTAAACTTATTCTGGGTATCTTCCAGACTAAGGTCTCTCAACAGTAGAGGAATCCTACTGAAGCCAGACGTAGTGGTGCACACTTGTAATCCCAGCACTTGGCTGAGGCAGGAGAGGAAGGAGGCTAAAGCCACCCTGTGCTATATAGTGAGACCTGGTCTGAAGGGGAAAAAAGGAACAGCCTACTCACTAAATATGTCATCCACATGTAAACAAAGTAGACAAAGTGATGATTTTGAAGGACAATCTGTTCCTCGCTCTACAGATGACTTCAAGGCCCAGTCATTGAACTGTGCTGCCATTTCTTCCTTCTGTTATTGCAGGGATGTCATGTAATTCACACGGCAGGCACAAGAATGGCTTTCTACAGTGCAACTGAACTAATGCTGTGGCAGTAACCGACTCATCCTAAATTAGGTAATTATTTTTGCATTATCCTTTTCACTGCTCCTAAGCAAGGCCTCAATCAAAGTCAACCTCACAATGAAAGCAAAAATACTTTAGTTAGGCCAAAATTTATTTTCATTAAGGTCTTAAAAGAATGAGATTCAATAAACCAAACTAAGCTATCTAGTTTAAATACTCACGGGTCAAGGGCCTTAGGATCAGTAACAAACTACTTTAGTGCTACAGATGAACACCTGCACTTTAAAATCTGAAAACAGTGAACGTGACGATCTCTTGCTGCATACAGAAAATGTCACCCTAGCTCACTTTACCTCTACTTCCCAGCTGTGTGCATGCATGCTCTCATTCTTATCCTATGTTTAACAATGTAAAGAAGGGTACTAGGATTTGGTACAGACCATCAAGTTTAATCCCATTGCTCAGGCCCAATGCTATTCAAAACCCCACAACCAAACCAATTCTGAGGACTTGTAGTTACTGAGGAAATGAAGTTTCTAAGATGACGCAGTGACTCCCTGCAGCAAGTTACAGGAACATCCAGCAGACTGCTACACCTCTCCGCATTTAAACACACACACACACAGGCACGCACACTTTGCGATGTGGTACAAATAGCAGGAAGGCAGATTTCCTCAGAGAAGCTGTTACAGTAATTCCTAAGAGAGACTCACATTCCCTGACTATCAGGGGCCCAGTCAGGACAACAAGCTGTCCCTCAGTCACCTCCCTCATCCCACCATACCGCTTGCCCACAGAGCACCGACCACAGGAGTCCAGTGCCCCTGGGGGCGGGGCTTCACGCTGACACACTAAAATGCTTGGCCCCATGCAGTGAATGTCAGAGAAGCGGTGCTGCACGCCCACAGCCCCTCCTAATCTCAAACTTCCAACATAAGCCTCTCATTAGGATACCGTGTGTGTGTGTTTGTGTGTGTGTGTGTGTGTGTGTGCGCGAGCGATTCTAGGGACTGAACTCAGGACCTTGCTCTTAAGAGGCAGGCGCAGGTGCCACTGACCTTCATCCCCGGCCCAGGATACATTTCTTTTTAAATAAACCAAGGAAAAAAAAAATCAACTGAATATTCAACTGAGAAAAATTATTTCTAAGTTATCTACAACTTATCACCTGGAAGTTTTTTTGAAAAGTAACCCAGAGCCAGGTATAGCGACTGATGGTAGTGGCACCCACCTATAATGCCAACCCATCTATAATGCCAACACTCTGGGAGACCAAGGCAACAAGATCAAGATCAAGCCCAGCCTGAACAACTTAGCCACTTAGCAAGAGCCTGCCTCAAAATACAAAATAAAAACGGCTGGGAAAATAGCTCAGCGCAAAGGGTCTGGGTTTGACCACTAGTCTCTCCCTCTCTCTCCCTCCCTCTCTCTCTCTCTCTCTCTCACACACACACTCTCACACACACACACACACACACACACACACACACACACACACACACAGCTCAGGCTAACATTTCTCATTTACCACAAGCTTAATATAAGCTACAGAGATACAAACTGAAATCCTTCTAATTATCACTGGCCTGGGCCAAATGAAGTAGTCACCTAATTCCTTATACTGACCCAAAAAACAGCTGTGTGACTTAAGTTTTCTTTATGTGCAGGAGCTGCTACTAATATTTATATATTTAAGGTACTTGGACCAAACTGGTAACATTCATTACACTTCATTTTAGTTTTAGCTGATCCTTTCAGCAACTCTACAGTTACTAAGAACAAAATAAAACATTCCTGTTTCTTTTCACGTGCTATCCTCAAATGACAGTTCTAAATGTGAACACTCCCTGTTAATAAGAAAATAAGTTAAATTCAACCAACCTGGTTGCCCTTAGATGAGTCATAAGTTGTCACACAAAGGCTTGCTTCACACAGTGTATATAAAACCTTCACCCACCTCACACACAGCACTCAACAAATAATGTAACTGTAAAATGAGTATTATTAGTCTATATTGCCAGACTGAATTTTCTTCCAGAAATATTTTAATAAAAATTGGCCATTTCAAGAAACACCCACTGCATGCCCATTAATAAAGAAATCATAAAATAGGAAATTTACCATATGGCTATGATTTAAAGAAAAAAAAAAAAAAACTGCAGACACTCGAGCACATCAGTGAAGTCCAATATTAGTCACATTCGTTCTTAGGGACTATGATTAGGAATCTGATTAGATACCAAAATAAAACCTAATACAAATGCTCAGTTATTTAGGTCAGAGAACCTCTCCAGAAGCATCTGTCCTCAAAGGCATTCCAGTTTGAGACTCAATTTAGACTAAGGCGTGACACATGTTAACAGAACTCACACACAGTGAAGAAAAGGGAGTCTACAATTCCTCACATTCTCTGAACATAATAAAACAAATCTAGATTTTTTTTTTTATTTTTCTTTAAACAACTGTCAAGACTGGAATCAAAGATAAATAGAAGGCACAACAGTTTTGCTCTGGTTGTTATTCAGACTTGGGGGTTTGTATTTTTTTCTTTTTTTTTTTTAACAAATACAAATGAAAAACTCTACTTCAAAAAAATCTAACAGTTCAAGAAAAACCTATCAATTGCATTCTAGACATTCACAACCTATCTTACAATTTAAATTTTAATGGTAAAAACAGTAGGTTTTAGAACTGTTTTGTGATCGATATCAAAAGAAAAGTTCTATTAACACCTTTTATTCAGTTTTTAACCATTATTAGTGAGAATAAAGTTTTTCAAATTTTCTATATGACCATTTTTCCACATCACAAAGCAGCTGTGACTCTCAAAGAAGAAACAATTTGGATTTCTCCTACTCCAAAATGTTTATCAAATCCTGTACTTCTCACAGGCTTTTGAAACACATAAAAAATAAGTAAGAAATATTCCAATGAATGAAACATACCAAATGTCAGTAATAAGTGACACATTCCTTTGGGGAAATGGCTGTTTAAAAAAAAAAAAAAAAAAAACAGTCTGTATATGCAAAGTAAGCAAGGAAATTCAGTCTTTTTTCTTCTTTAAAAATCCGTTACTCCTAAAACATCGTTCCACAAAACTGGAAGTAAAAGACTGAAAGGCCAAGAAAAAGAGGGGAATGGGAGGGAGCACACACCATCAACACAAAAAGAAGTAAAATTGTACAAACTGAAGCAGTTTATAACAGACTGGGTTATACTCCCAAGACACCGAAGGAGGGCCGCAGAATTCACCATTCTGCAGCAGGAGCTGGGGTTACACGCTTGGTGAGGATCAGTGAAAAGCAACTCACTGCCTCGGAGCAATCCCCCTTCCTACTCCGAAGCCCGGCTTCTGCACCATCGCTCCGCGGGGAGGGCCTCTCATGCCGCCGCCCAGCCCACCGCGAGGGCCCCCAGGTCCCCGCAGGCGGTTATCTCGACGGTCCCCTTCCCTGGCAGCGCGAGTCTTCTTCTCTTCCACATTGAGACGGACTTCACCTCTGAACATGATGGGCTGGAAGAACCAAGGTGACCACACTTACTCAGCGTGCAGAGAGGAGCAGCAGCGTAAATAAAAATCAGCTAACTTCTAGTTCTTGTTTTGAGCTCAGAAAGCTTATTTTTCCCATTAACAAAAGACATGGGAATATGATTTGGTATGAAGGCAAGTTCGAAACAGCCAACTTAAACAGTACCACAGCAATAAGTACCTTTTATTGTACTTAGGAATTGCCATTTTCTCCATGCATTTAGAGGGTTCAGGTAAAACACCAAGTAATATGGAAAGATGACACATTACATATTTATGTAAAATATGTACACATAACAATGACGCAAACAAAACTTCAAGAGTTGCGAATGAAGAGCCAGGAAGGTTAAGGTACCTATTCCACGGCTCACACTATTTAAGACAATGCAAAGCAAGGCCTCTTGACTGGGCGCTTAAAACCACTATGCTACATGAGAGCACATCATACACCATGGGTGTCAGCGTTATATAATCTATTTCTGAACTCACACAAATATTACTGAAGGGAGCACAGCAGACCTCCATCGTTATCGTGAAATGAAGAAAAGCCAAGATACATTTGAGGTTTCTCAAAGTACAAACAAGCGACCAGAGAGTACAACTCCCAGGTAGGTCTTTTAACACGGATGGCTAAACATGTCGAAAGAAATCACATTTTAACTGTAAGACACAGCTATGAAGATGTTCTTAAGAACCAACGGGAGGGAGGTAAGGGGGAAATAAAGACAAGCTGCTTACCCGGTTGCTAAGGACCTTCTGCACAGGTTCAGAATCATCAAACACGACAAAACCAAAATTGGGTAATTTCCCACCGCTGTTTATGCGCAGCTCCACCACATTCCCATAATCTGCAAACAAAACCAACTCTCAGATAAATTAGCAGAAAGTTTCCTTGCACCATCAGATGTGCACTGTCTGGTACGGCAACCGCTAGCTAGATCCATGTGGCCGAGCCCTTGAACTGTAAGCTAGTCCAAAGTGAGATGCGGCACTGAGTAAAATATATGAGAAGAGTACAAAGATTTTGCACCTTTAATAAAAATATAGGCTGACTATCCCTTACTGAAAAATGCAGACATCTGAACTGTTTTGGATTATTTTTCTATTTTGGAAGATTTGCACATGTACATACTGAGATATCTTAGGGATGAGATCCAAGCCTGAATATGAAACTCACTCTAGCCTCCTACACACCCTTAGGCAGGCAGCAGGAAGGCACTTGAAATGTTTGCACAAGGTGCGCAAAATGCGTGCGTATGGACCGTGACCCAGGACGCGAGGTCATGTATGCACTTCTCCACTTGCAGCACACTGATGCTCGGTGGTTTCAGGTTCTGGAGCATTTGAGGTTCTGGTTTAAGGAAGCTCAGACTGCAGAGCCCTTCAGTAACTGGTTCTACGGAACCAACAGTGAAGAAACCAAACTATTTTGGCTGGAAAGGGCAGAGTCACAGGGAAATCAACACCAAGTTCTAGTCTGCACATCAGTACCAAACAAATGTCAAGCAACAGGACAAAATTTCTCAATCAAAATGCATCTGGTACTAAATCTGATGAGACTGAAAACAGTGGAGGGCTGGGGATTTAGCTCAGTGGTTCCACCTCCTGCCTTGGAAGCACAAGGACCCAAGTTTGATCCACAGTACCAAAAACAAAACAAAACAGCACAGTGCCAAAGTACAGTACGTCTACTTTTACATGGTGAAAAGACAGTTTTAAATACGATGGGTTAAATGAAACGTCATTAAAATTAACTTCTGCAGTTTCTTTATATTTTAACATAATGACTGGGAAAACAACATAACGTATGCTGCTCATCTTCTATTTCTTTTTTCTTGGTACTGGAGATCGAACTCCGGTCCTTGGGCTTGCAAGGCAAGTGGTGGAACCACTGAGCTAAGTCCCCAGCCCTCATCTTCTATTTCTACTGGACAATGCTACACCCTAGATAAATGTGTTCAAAACCCAGCAACCTACTTTGAAAGAAATCTTTCAGTTCTGATTTGTCCACCTCGTGAGGCAGGTTACCAATAAAGAGCTGGTGGCTGTCCGGATGTCTCACAATTCTTCGGGGTTCAACATCACCTTGCTCCCCAGCCTCACGGACTGAAGAAAAAACAAAAGCAGCAATGAAAGACTAAGTGACCTTTCTTCAGGGACTATTCATATATAATATTCTTCCCTCTGCTCTAAATTCCATTAGCTCTACAAGGATCAACTGGCCACCCAAAACAGGCCCTAACTCCAAACCGCCTGCACTACAGAATTCATTCACCATGAGCACACTTACTTGGTCTGGGTCCCCTCTGGGGAGGAATGTTTATTCGTTGCTCTCGCACTCTTTGATCCCTCTGAGGCCTCTGTGGTGGAATCTGAGATTCAGGCTTAGACTCTGGACGGGGCTAAAAAATTTGTAAGTTAACTGTTGTGTAAAAAAAATAATAACAATGCATGCTTACTTTTCTTCTTTAAGTCTCTTAAAAGGTAAGGTTTAAACTAGAAAATGACAATCCTCTTACAAAAAGTTAAACAGCCTGTACTCTTTTCTGTCCTATATACAGCTTCCCCTTCTTTACACCCTGGCTCAAATCACATTACCAAAAACAAGTCACCCTGCCTCCCTCAAGTCACAGTGTCGTCAGAAACTTACCTGTGACGCTGGCACTTTCACGACATGAGGGGGGATCCCAGTCACAGGAACAGCTCCGCTAGGAGGAAGGTTCTTACTGGTCACAGATGCCCAGGAAAATGTCTACAGAAACAACACCCATTACGTGCTTACACTACACGGCGATATGATATAAAGGCCATTTAACTCAAATTCCTGCACATGTTAATATGTAAAACATTCTCAGAGGCAAGAGTTCCACACGGTCTTCACATTGTCAATACATTGTCTAGCTTATCTTCCAACAAGTTTAGTGTTTTTGTTTTAATATTTGTATCTTTAATCCACTTGGATTTTAGTTTAGTGCATGGTGAAAGATAGAGGAGTCTAGTTTTAATCTTTGGCAAGTTGAAACCCAGTTTTTCCAACACAATTTATTAAAGAGGTTATCTTTCCTCCAGTGAAGATGGTGGCTCCTTTGTCAAAGATGAGGTAGCTGAGTGTGTCAGGAGTTGTTTCTGCATCTTCTAGTCAATTCTACTGATCCCTGGGTTTGCCAGTACCATGCTGTTTTTAACACAGTGGTTTTGGAGTATCGTTTCAAGGTGGGGATTGTGATACCCCACTGAAACATCTCTGTTGCCTAGAATGGCTTTTGCTATTCTAGGTCTCTTCTGATTCCAAATGAATTTTTTTATTGTTTTGTCTAGTTCTGTGAGATATACTTTTGGGATTTTTTTTTTTTCTCATTGAGTTTATTGGTACATTTTAGGTATACAGTACAGTACATTCAAAATTGGGATCTTGTACCATTACATGATAGGAGGTCTTGGTTCTCATTTTTTCCCTTTACCCCTGTGCCCTCCCTTCCCTATTTACAAATACTTTATTTTCCATTTTTTCTTTTTTTTTTTTTTTGTGGTACCAGGGATCGAACTCGGGTCCTTGAGCTTGTGAGGCAGGCCACTGAACCGCTGAGCTAAATCCCTGGCCCCATTTTCTCATTTTTTTTCTTTTCCTTTATTTCCTTTCCCCTACTCTTCCCACTTCCCCTACACCTTTAAGCCTTTTTCTTCCTAATTCACATTCTCAATTATACCATTAGGATCTTATGTACAACTGTAGCTTTTAAAAGACTTATTAGCAAATCCTGAAACCTACAATGTGTGAAAAAAAATTTACCACCTGTTCCTCAAAGGTCTACTATCTAGAATATAGAAAAACCTCTAAAAAAAGATCCCCCCCAAATATAAAGACCCAATTCAAAAATGGGCATGTGAAATAAACAGACATTTCTCAAAGAAGTAAAAGCAACAAATATGAAAAATATTCAACATCACTGGTCATTTGAGAGATGCAGATGAAAACAATACTGAGATTCCACCTCACCCCTGGAAAATGGCTGCTATCAAGAAATCAACCAATAACAAATGCTGGCGGGGTTGTTGGGAGAAAGGAACCCTTCATTGTTGGTGGGAGTGCAGACTGGTGCAACCACTGTGGAAATCAATATGGTAATACATTAAACAACTAGGTTTAGAGGTCCCATTTGACCCAGCTATTCCCCTGCTGGGTATCTTCCCAAAAGAATTAAAAGAATCATACCACCAAGACCTGTCATGTGAAGGTACAGGATCCCAGTAATGAATGTAACTGTATTGTAGACCTAGATTGTACCAATAAACTCAATAAGAAATCAAAAAATAAATAAATAAAATAAAATAAAAATAGAGAAAGGATATAAGAGAAAAGAAAAAAAAAAAAGAATCATACCACAGTGATATACCCATGCTTATAGCGGCACAGTTTGTAATAGCTAAATCTTGGAAATAGCCCAACTGCCCATCAACTGGAGACTGGATAAAGATGTGGATTTTTAATAAAATGGAGCACACCTCAACCATAAAGAATGACTAACTAGAGATATTTATAGCTAAGTGGATGAAGATTGAGGACATACCCCTAAGTGAAATTAATACAACACACATGTGTATCACATACTTTTCGTGGCATGATAAACTAAAAGTGTAAATAAGGATCTAAATGTAGAATTGATACTGTGTAATAGGAAGAAAAGGTCTAAAGGTGTTGGGGAAATTGTAGTAGTAGAGGAATCGGAAGGGAAAAAAATAAGAAAAAAAGCAAAAAATGGAAAGAAAGTCTTTGTAAATAGGGAAGGGTGGAGGGGGTGAAGGAAGGGCAGGGGAAGGGGGAAAAATAAGAACCAAGATACATCATATAAATGTACAAGATCCCAATGAGTGTACCAATAAAAAATATATTCTTTAAGGGCCAGGGATTTAGCTCAGTGGTTCTGCCACCTGTCTCACAAACACAAGGACCCAAGTTCAATCCCCAGTACCAAAAACAAAACAAAACAAAACAAAAAAACATATTCTTTAAAAAGAAAAAAAAAAAAATCTCTGAAGCAGGGTGGTGGTTAAAAGTATCCTGAGATTCCTTTCTTTCACCTGCTCACAAATTCAGCATTAAAACTTAATACTGACGATCAAGTATGAGCCAAATATGAAAAGCTTAAGGGTCAAACAAGCAACTTTGTCAATTTCAAATTCATGCATCAAGTAAAATTCTCTCCAAAACCAGCTCAGCTCTTCCAACTTGCCCAATCTGTTGTGTATTAACCAACTTTAGGATCATCTTATGCATCTTTCTAATCTGTTTAAAAACTGTCACAGCTAGGAGTGGCTATTCCCAGGTTCATTTGTAATTCCATTACTCTGGGAGGCCAAGGCAGAAGGATCTCCAATTCCAGTCCAGCCTGGGCAACTTTCGCAAAAACTACTGGGGTAGGAATGTAGTTCACTGTGAAGGCTGGGGGGGGTGGTTCAAACCCCATTACAGAAAAGAAAAAACACCTGCTCTTTTACCCTAACCATCTCATTTCCACTGCTGAGACTCTAATCCAAGGCATCATCACCTCCCACATGGACTACTGTCACAGTCATCTAAGTGATCACCCATCCACCCACCCTCAGGGCAGCATGTAGAAGCTAAAGTCATTTCAGGGTTGTTTTTTTTTTACCTGCCTGATTCCCAAGGAGCAAGAACTCTACTTGTTTTACCAATAAAGTACTCATACCTTTAACAATGCCTACCACACTGTACCCATGTGAATAAATTTGTTAAACAAGATACATTATAAAAATACTGACCCTCTAAATTATGTGTGAGCACTTGTGTGTGTGTCTGTGTGTACATGTAATATATATGGGTGGGTTGAGGCAGGGTCAAACAATACAGTTCAGGCTGGCCCTGAACTCACTATGAGCTAAGGCTGGCCTCAAACTCAGCGATGCTCCTGCCTCAGCCTTCCCAGAGGGCTGGGATTACAAGTGTGCACACTGCCCAGCTTGACCTTCTAAATACAACACTAAAAATAAAAATATTCCTTCCCAGATCATCAAAGATAAAAGTTCTGTGTTCCTCTAACAAAAGACCCAAACAGTACTCAGAAGTAACCCAAAGCCTCTAACTTCTGAAAACAGAACAGTTGTTTCTACTTCTACCTTAAAGATACTCTCAAATTTTACCACACTATAACCTTAATACAACTCTGCTATGCACCTGTATTATTACTAACAAGTAATACTTTACAATTTAACAGACAATTCCCAAAAGACTAGAGGACTGTAGATATGGTGATGAAAATGGCACTTGGAATTCCAGGCCCAAGAAGCATCGGAGTTACCTTGGAGGGGGGAGGAGCACACAGTGTCACCTCTCAAATTGCAAAGCAATATGGCCCAGGATTTAAGAAATGTTCCAGAATAACCAATATGAAAAGCATCTATAAAACTCAACCAAGCAATTATAAAGGAGAAATGATTAAAAAAAAAACACACAGAAATAGAATAAAATGAAAACACGTTCCCTACCCTCAAGTCTTCCTGCACTGTCTGAGCTATGTCTGTAGGTGCTGGAGAAGAGCTCTTCTGAGCATCCTCAGGAGCAGTTTCTTCTAAAACAGGCTCAGTCTTTTCCTCTTGGATTTCAGATGCAGGTTCTTGCTCTGGTTCTGGTTCAGGATCAGGCTCTGGTTCAGCAACGGGCTCCTCTAAATGTTCTTCCAGGTCATTGCTTTCACAGGAAAATGTGAAAAATATCATTCTACTTCCCCTGATTCAGCAAAAATATCCTGATCATTCGTTACCTTTAGACTAGCTACCAGGGCTGCAGATGATAATTCAGTGGTAGAGGAGATATTCAGCATGCATGAGGCCCTGGGCAGATCCCAGCAAAGAAAGTAGCTCCCTCTTCTCAGAAAAGATGTAAGAAATGTGTGCGTGTGTGTTTGCGTGTGTATACAAACATACATACATATGTTTGAGTATAAAAGCATTTGATGAATAAATATTAACTAAAAACGTTTATTTGCTAAATCCTGTAAGCAAATACATCCAAATAGATAAAAATAAAACAACAACTGCTTCTCATTCAGCTGGAATTCCAGAACTATTAAAATGTACTTATCATACAACATCATGAAAACTCACACCTTACAAGCTTGGGGAACAGGGAAAGAGGAAAACAAAAAGTTACTGCTTTCAACAGCACTAGTTTTAAAAAATCAGTGTGCAGAGTCCAGGGATGTAGCTCAGTGGTACCGCGCCTGCCTTGTAAGTACAAGGTCCTTAGTTCAATCAATCCCCCCACCCCCATACCACCAAAAAAAAAAACAAAAACAAAACAAAAAAAAAAAAACAAACAAAACAAAAAAAAAAACCACAAAATATATTTAACACTATCATACTACATATTCAAAAAAGAAGACAGGCTGGTGTGGGCGTAGTAGCACACACCTGCAATCCCAGCACTCAGGAGGCTAAGGAAAGCAACACAAGTTGGAGGTCAGCCTGGACGACTACACAGAGAGACCCTTCTCCCCCTGCCAAGCTAGGACAGTAAATTTTTTAGATAAATGACTTTTTCCACATGAAAACACAAAAACACTAGGAATTTTAGGATAAAAAAAGAGAAAAACTATGATTGAGAAAAGCTGTTAAACTTCTACACAAATCACCAGCAACTCTTGATAAGAAATCACAAATTTTTCACTTGAAATCACAAAAAATTCAAAACCAAAAAGCAACTGACAAGATACCATTTTAGAAGTCTTCATAGTATATCTGATTACCAATTAACAAGTTACACTTCAAAAATACCAAAAAAAAAAAAAAAAAAAAAAAAAAAAAATTTTAAAAAAGAGCTGGGCGTGGTGGTGCACGCCTGTAATCCCAGCACCGGGAGGCTGAGGCAGGAGGATCGCTGGGCTATACAGTGAGTTCCAGGTCAGTCTCAACTACATAGTGAGACCCTGTCTCAGAAAACAAAAACAAAACAAAACAAAAAAACAAGTTACACATTTTTATTTAAGTCAATGATACCAAAAGCAAAAGCTTTCTTCTGGAAAGACCAGAAAGTGCAACTTCTTATATACCCCTAAACATGTGAATGAAATTTTCTTTACCTGACAGTCTGATCATAGAAAGTTCCAGAATCATCAGGTACAACCTCAGGTGTCTGCTGTCTTTCTTCAGGCTCCTCTACTTCTTCCTCAGATTCTAGAACAAGGAAAATACATATAAAATGATTTGTGCTTACTGAATTCACATATTCATTCTTTTCCAACTACTATGGTCAAATACAGAAGAAACACACACATAAAAGACAACAAGGTGACTCAATCAAATTACAGCGTAGACTTTAAGCACATCAATTGGTATTTCAGTTCCGAAAACAGAATCTCAGGTCTTACTTCTAGTAATCTGAGGGTCTTCTACCTTACTAGCCACAGGCAAACTAGTACATCTCAGGACCCTAGTTACTGAATGGGAGAAAACAGGACCTCAAGTACCTATGGAGAAGGTTGTATATTGTACAACAAATATAAAGCACTTAAAACAGTTTGTCATGTAGAAAATATTCAAATACTATTAGAGACAATTCTCTCTGGGTCTGTTTCTCCACACATTCCACACCTACCCTCTGTCCTCAAAGACATCATCTGTAGGTAACTCCAGAAGAAAGCATTTCCTCTCAGGGCAAAGGGGAGGCATGTTTACCCTCTACTGTAAAAGATTTGGAGCTATCATGGCTTTCTGCACAATAGGCTGCCCTGTGTCCTCCAAAGTGTACTTTTATCTTGCTTTTTCCTCTTTTTACTCAGCCCGAGCTCACTGTGGAAAACCAGTTTCTTCCTCACACTTCACTTTTACTTTTCAAAGAAATTTCATTAGTTCAATCCCCAGCACAAAAAATTAAATAAATAAACTTTATCACTGCTCCCAGTAAATAGATAGATTTAGGTTCCCTAAACTAAGGGTTCTACCTCTTAACACAACTCACTGGCTTCTTCATGATTTATTATGGAACTGTGACAAAAATGCTACTATTACTGCTGTCAGTAATAACATGCACTTGAGTCTGTCTTCTCTATACATCCACGAAGCAAGCTAGAGTCAAAAAGGGTAAAATCACAGCTCCCTCATGTCCTGATACTAATTATCAACGAGTATAATGGAGACATTCAAGAAATGCATATTCTTTTAAAGTCAGTCTGATGCCATTTTAGAAATGCAGACGAGGGGGTGAAGGGAGGGCAGGGATAAGGGGCAAAAAAAAACAAGAACCAAGACCTGTCATGTAAAGGTACAAGGTCCCAATGATGAATGTAACTGTACTGTATACCTAAAATGTACCAATAAACTCAATGAGGAAAAAAAATAAAAACAGTACAGAGAATCAACAAATTAAAGAGCTCGTTCTTAGAGAATACACAAAAACAAAAACAAAAAAGAAAAAAAGAAACGCACACAAGTAAGCGAAAGCATTTTACTACTTACCCTCCTGAGGCTCAGTAACAAAGCCGCCAAAGACTTCATCTTGGTATCTGAAGATATCATTATGAACATAGAATTTATTTGCGACAGAGCCCTGCAATGCCAAAAAGTTTTCATTATTCAACAGACTCTCCAAAAGCCAAATCACAGGCAACATAAAAGAATTCAGGTGTTTTATATATACATATATGTATGTACCAACTATCCACACTGAATCAATTACGTACTGCAAACATGTACAAATCAAATTTTTTTTAAAAAGCTGAACCACTCTACACAAATGGTCTTCAATTTTGGGGTAGCCTGTCCTCAGCAAATACCAAGCACTGTCTGGAGACGTCACCGCTTTCCTAACAGAACCGCTTATCAACAGCTGCTAGGGAGAGAGCAAGGATACTACTAAATACCCTACAATGCCCCCTAAAACAAAGAATCAGCCCAAAATGAAAGCAAGTCAAGATCAAAAAATCCTGTTTACACTACAGATGTAAAAAAAAAAAAAAAAAAACCTATGTTTGCTCAAAACATTTATTCTCACATGATGAAAGCCATAATCTGACAGAACTCTATGTAAGATACCAAATTAGCACCTCGAATCACTAACAGGCAATCATGCTCCTAACTCCAGGAGATACTCAAATTCTCTACCTCTGTACTACTGATTCAAGTACTCAGGATGGTATAGCTAAAAAAGCGTGCTTATTATACTAGGTTAAAGACACCCAAGTTCACACTGGACGTTATTTACTGTTACCTAACTTCTAAGGCTATTTGCCCATCCATACAGAAGTGTTATCTGACGACATACACTTCATTGCTTGTGTGCATTAAGACAGTTTATATAACAACGAATTATACACGAGTTAGACTCTTCCCTTTAAAGAAAAATGACCCTGTTCAGTCTGAACCACTCTGGAAGAAAGTATAAATCCAATTACTCAGCATAAAATCTGTGGCCTTTCATGGTGATTGTGACTACAAGCACCACAGAGCTCCTTGTAGAAACAGTTCATTCCAGAATTTGGGGCTGAAGGAGAAGTCCAAGATGAGTCTGGAAAACTCTGTCCCACAATGTTTCAAAGTGCTCTTCCTTTTTTGGATTGGGGACACTGGCTGGGATGTAGCTCAGCAACAGAACACCATGGGTTCAAATGCCAGTAATGCAAAAGATAAAAGAAAAAAAAAGGCAGCCTGAGGGGATCACACTAAATCTGTCACACTTCAGACACATTATGAAGTTAGCAACAGATTCTAATTTATTTTATTCTGGTTTTTGTTTTTTCAGACAAGGTCTTGCTATGTAGATCAGGCTGGCCCTGAACTCACTATGTAGCCCAAGCTGGCCTGCAACTCATGGCGATCCTCTGACTTCAGCCTCCTGAGGGTTGGGATTGCAAGCGTGCACCACCAAGTCTGGCTTTTAATCCATTTTAAAAACTAATCATTTGTGCACTTACGTCTTAAGACTCGTGAAAGATAAAAGATACGAGACAAAAGGAATGCCAACTAATCAATAGAGAATGATGGGACTAAACTCCCATTTGTCATTATCAGAATAGTGACTGACTTCGGCTATGAAGTAATCGGTGCCAAAATCAATGTTAAAAATTCAATGAATAAAACAATTGTAGTCCCCCATCAGTCACAATTTCCAAATCAGAAAAGCAGCACTACTTAACCTTACAGTGGTAAAACCTGAAGAACATGACCCTAAGGTACTCAAAGTTATCATAACTATTAACAGGACTAAGTATCATTTACCTCTTTAACTGAGGTTCTGAAAGACATGCAAGTTTGAAATATTTATACGTACATGACTACATGCTTCAAAAATGTCAACAGCATGAAAAGGTTAAATAACTATTGTAAATTAAAAGAGACTGGGCTAGGGATTTACCTCAGTGGTACTACTGCCTGCTTCACAAGAGCTAGGTCCCAAGTTCGATACCCCATACCAAAACAATAAATAAGAGAGAATAAAGAGCTATGACAGCTGAATGCAATGTTTTTTTTTTCTTTTTTGGGGGTGCTGGGAAAGAATGTAGGCAAGTGTTCTACCACTGAGCTATACCCCTGTCCCTGTAACTATACTGTACCTAAGACCTGGGGAAAAAACACTATGAAAAACAACACTGGCATATTTGCTGAAACTTACACTGGACAGTTATACTGCATCAAACATTCCCTGAATGTGATAACTGTACTCTCCTCTCCAACAGAGTATTCCTTATTCTTAGGACATGCCCATGTAAGTATGTGAACAGAACTAGACACAATGTGCCACTTCTTTACAAATGGATTACTAGGCAAAGAATGAGAAAGAATTATACCTATATGGGCAAGTACTGACAGGAGCATTAGACAGAGTACATGAGTAGAGTGTCAACCTTTCATTTGAGAAAAAGAGAGCACCTTGGACCCCTGCGTGAGAAGGGCGTTCTAGAGAATTGGTTTTCTGGGATTCATTTCACCATGCTCAGCCATCCAGGGACTAGGAGTCCTCTGCAGCCATGATGCAAAAAGGCCCCACTACTACTGCCACTGACCAAAAGTGTGGTGTCATCCACATGCTGGTGGTTCTTCCGGTATGCAGAATGCAAGAGTTATGGGATTGGGGAGGATAATCCCACCCAGATTTTAAAGGAAAGCCTATAAAGTCAGGCAGAAAGCCCGGAAGAGAACAGTATGTGAAGCTGTGGGAATGAAGCTGGGTTTCATGGAGAACCCAGGAATTCAACAGATGCCACTAATGTGGAAAGTCTGCTAAGGACAGCTGCAGACCTCCTGGAATCAGCCCAAAAGAGAGGCCAAGCAGGCTGCAATCAACAAGGCCATAGGGTGGGGATGCCCAAACCCTCTGGATATCATGTCTTATCACCTTTTCTCATTGGATAGAGGGAATACAGTTATAGGATTTAATGTTTTCCATGCTGGATTATTGGGGTGTTTTGGTTTATTTTCTATTCCCTACTCCTTCCTTTTGGAGTGGAAATATTTACCCAATGCTACTGCACCTTGGGATTGACTTGTTTTTAATTTTTACAGAGGTTCATAGCCAAGAGCTTGCCTTGAGTCTTAGAAGAGACTTGGGACTTTTGAAAAATGCTGGAACTATCAAGACTTTGAAGAAGGGATTTGTGCATTTCTGATATATTTATATCATTAGGCAGAATCTGGATTAGCTATTGTACTTTGGGTGATTAAGTTTGATTTCAAGAGATGTGTCTGTCTGTCCAACTGACAGGAGGTGGACTGTCACTGTTAACTGTGTGACATGTCAACTTGATTGGCTTAAGAAATGCCTAGCAGATCAGGAAAGCACTCTTCTGAGCATGTCTGGGTGGGTCATGCAGGTGTGATCTTGGGCACCATATCTGGTCTCTCATCTCTTCCTCTGCGGTACTATTGCCATGTCCTGCTTCCCAAACATCATAAGCTAAACATTTTGGCTCACGCCATGTTTCTGCCTTGGAGTCGGGTGACCATGAACTGAATTCCCCTCGTGTCAAAATTATACCTCTCCTTCTTAAAGAAAAAAGAGTACAGGAGTTGTCATATCCTTGCAACTTGTAAGATGGAAATTGTGAAGAAAGATTTTTTTAAGACACACACACTTTTTTCATGTACTTCGTTTTTACAGCTTCAACAGTGATTACAATACATACCTCAGGAGCAAGGACAAATGTCTGCATGAACCTCCGCAAGGCCTGGTTGTTGTTGGAGAGCAGCCCCATTACCTGGACCACCACACCATCATTCAGGGTAGCGTGCGCATCCACGTGACGGATCTTGGTGTGGCAGTTGGTGAAGTTCTGTGACATCACCTTCCTATGAATTTCCTGAAGAATCAAAAAGTTAAATCCTTAAATGTATACAACCTACACTTGTACCAACTCCCCGTGATTAATACAATCATTACATACTGCAAATATATACTAATAAAAAGAAAAAAGAAAACTTACACAACCTACAACAAAACCCCCAACAGATACAGACACTGCATGTGAAGTACAATACAGGAAGTCTCCATTTGTAGTTATAAAATCCATGCCCAGTGATCTCTGTTAAACCCTTTAAGGGAACTGTCCTGAATTAGCAATTTCTTTTTCTTTTTTTTTTTTTTGGTACCAGGGATCAAGCTCAGGACCTTGCGCTTGTGAGGCAGGTGGCAGAACCACTGAGCTAAATTCCAGGCCAGAATTAGCAATTCTAAAAACCTTCCAAAAGATGATCCCCACATCAAAACCAACTACCTTCCAACATGCAAAACCTTCAGAATGCATCACACAAAATGAGCAAGTGTAACCTCACATAAGCATTTCAAAAAACTACCAAACTGATTACTAACCTCCTTCCACCAATCTATTAAGCATGTATTCATTTCAGAATTATGGGTCATTTTCTCATTGCGTAAAGGCCTGCAAACATGGTGTGCTTACTTTCTGTCCATAGACTGCATCCGCAGGTTTCCCATTTGAATCCAATCCTCCATGGACATAAGAAGAGTTCTTTCCATAAAATCTGTAACGGGAAGATAATTTCCTTGTCATCTTCAAGTACCCCAAGAGTGGGTGTGTATTTTCAAGTCTGGTGTGACTTCCTGGCAGTCCTGAAGACAGAATGACACTGCCTTTTCCCACCTTTCCACACAATCATCTACCCATCCCCGACATGGCACCAAGTCACACTCGCTCAACAGGAATGGATTTCACCAATGAGGGAGAACACTTCATTTCTAAGTCACCAGTTCCAGGTTTCAGGGCAAGGTCACCATTTCCATCAGGAAGGTCATTCACTTAAAAATAAGTTCACATTTCAACCAAGAACAGACAGCCAGGCCGGGGACAGCTACTTCATTGTACAACCCCGAAGAGTCCTGCATGTGAGCAGTTCCCACTCCACTGTTAACTCATCCAGGCAGTTTTAGGAGTAGGTTTTAACAATTTCTGCTGCTGCAGTAAGAACTTCAGATTTTAATCCCTATAGCTTTAATTCACGTGTATCAAGAAATAGTGTTTTCATCAAAACAATATCCCATCAAAGCCCAAGCGTGGTGACACACGCCTGTAATTCCAGCACCCGGGAGGCTGAGGCAGGAGGACCACTGTGAGTTCGAGACCAGCCTGGGCTACACAGTGAGTTCCAGGTCAGCCTCAACTACAGAGTGAGACCCTGTCTCAAAAAA